AGACGAGGGGCTTTCAAGTATGACATTACCTCCTGCACAGGAATAGACGCCTTGTTAAACACAGCGTTCACATGAGTGATAACTAATGTGATTAATGGTATTTTTTTAAATCGACCTTGCTGGGGCATCACATACAATTGCTCTAATCGCAACCTTTACAGCGAGGTCTGATAAGCACAGACCTTCATTATCAAGTGATGATTTGAAGTCAGCTTCAATTTTTTTTTTTCAGAAATAAATGAGCAGGTGGCATTTTGTTTCCTCTAGAATTCTGCTAGATAAACACAAATTTATGTGCGTCAGTTTCTGGTCAGAATCGGCGAGGAGTCCGGGCGGTATTATTATTAATATTATTAGGTATTCTTATTATTATTATTATTATTATTANTCTATAGGCGTCTAATTCACATCATACATTCCTCATTAGTTGCACCTTTAAACAAAACAAAGAACCACCTCGTATCAATTAAAACTTCGTCAAAAATTTAGTTTAAAAAAAGTGGGGGGCGCGCTGCCCCACGTTACCCTACTAGTTATAAATATGTGAATATTCTGAATATCATTTAGTTTTAACTGCATGCTGGCATCCAGTGTATTATATAAGCGATAGACGGGCTGTGCTCAAAGCCATAATGTGAATTGATAATTGATAAACAGATAATATGTATTGATCGATACTAGATTTATACTGTAAATTGATATAACTAGATTCTAATTTAGTTATAGATAAAATGATAACTTGAATATATTTATGCAAGAATTCCATCCAATTGATTATTCACAATGATGTGGGCGAAATGTATAGATGAAATGTGCACAGTAATGCGATACTTTTTCAAATCGTATCCGAATAGATTTGTTGCACTCTAGACATGGGAAAATTGACATCAAATATTTGTACACACATAGAAAAAATGCCTAATAGTAGTTTAATTTTCGACAACTTCTAATGGATATTTAACTAATGATTCTCTTAAGTAGATATCGATTGGTAGGATTCATGCCGGATTTCACATCATCAAGGTCTACCTACGTTCACAGGAATACTTTTTCTTCTTTAAACCTCTTCAGGCTCAAATACATCACCGTCCAGAATCTGACTTGATAACGTGGCGATGAACGGGAATAATAGTGGTGGTGACGTACGAAAATTATTGTTATAAGAATATTATTATTATTATTATAATATTGGTCAATTAAAGTCTAAATTTCATAGTGAATTAAGCTCAATATGTGCTGTCTCTTATACACATCTAGATGTGTATAAGAGACAGGCGCCCGTTACAATCGAGTGGGTGTAGCGGTAGCGGTAGCGCCCGCTACATTTAGAGCATGTAGCGGTAGCGGTAGCGCCTCTACATTTCCAAGTAGCGCTGCCCAGCTCTGCGTATTTGTAGTTCTATTCCATTCTATTCTTCTATTCTATTCTGTAGTTCCGCAAGATCGGTCTGAAATATTTAAATTAGTTTGCTCTAAAATAACGTCGTTTCTTATGAAAGAAACGTTAAAAAACTACAGTTCATGGGAGACAACGTTAAGATCTCTGGTCATGGTCCATGTCATTTTTTTATTAACTAAGATCCATTTAACAATCAAATAGCAATTATTATTGCGTGAATTATGTTCATAATTGGGAAAAGTGATTTTTGAATGCGTGATTTGAAACTGCGACTTTTAAATCATATCCTGCTCCATTCAGCAGCACAGCAGGTAGCGAACGAATTAAGGTGAAATTGAAAAAAAAACGCGCAGACGAAGGCAAAATCAAAAAAATTTCAAGAGTTAAACATAAGTATTTTAATTTAGAGAATAGCAGTGCAACCGGACGCGAGACCGGCCGCGAGTCCGGCCGTAAATTTATCCCGGGCGTCTTATTCCACCACCAATGTTTTATATATGTGCGTTATCCTCTTGAAACCAGAACAAGTCATCCCTTATAATAAATAAAAATATTTTTTTAGGAAAGGCAAATGAGTACACTCGCAATTGTATGATAAATGAACCGAACTATATGTACTCTGTTCTGGGCTGAACTCTCCCTACTTTATAACACTAATATTTATTAGCAAGTGTTAGCTTCAAGACATTTATTAGACAATAAAGCATTACTCACCAACCTAAAAAAAAGCTAAGTCTACAACGTTCAGGGTTCATCTAGAGGGCGCCATTCACAAGCTCGCTAAATGGTTTAACAATTATCAGAATTTTTGAAAATGTCTACTATTCATTCATGTAATTTATAGTTAGTTCGAGTGCTCCATATTACGAAGAATCCGCTCCTAAAGCTGGTAAATACTCTCCATTTAGATGAGCTGCGATCCCAAGAGACACCGTCTGATGTTGCACCCGAAAATCAGCTGAATCTCTTCCATTAAATGTCTAGCCAAAGTTATCGGAGTAACTTCCCTTCTCTGCAGGCCAGAATAATAGAATAAAATTTAAGCAATTCGTAAATTTTGAATTAATAATGAATAATAGAAAACTTTTATCGAGGACGTTTCCCGCCAGCGTATTGGGCAACTTTCTTAGATCGAGAGCATTGAAAATTAAATATGAAGTTATCTTCATTACCGTATGATAGTGATATTCGCTTTACCTCACACAGTCATCAATAAAATTTCTGCCAATAAAAGTTGCAATTACATAATTCATCAATAAAAGTAACAATGCAATCATTTTACAGTGTTCTTCAAAAAAATTTCCTGTTTTGTATTTCTAGCCGAGCAGCCAAATGTCGTAGGAAAAAAGCGGAATGTAATTCATATGAAATACAAGTTTTATGTCCTGCTTAGTTAGTTGCCACTTTGCATTGGACAAGTGAGCAGCGTGCGTGTGCTGTCGAGGCGTACTTTTCATATGACCGCTAGCCGGCTCGATCCCTCGATATCCCTAGCCGGCTCTATCCATCGATATTGGCTCTGTGTGTTTTTATGTGGTTGTCTTAAAACAAATCGTTTTCAATGACTGTCCAAAGACTCTACTTCATTTGAAGAACAACATACACCAAGCCATCACCAACATACCCGTCCAGCGAGTTGTGCTGAACTTAAAAAGTCGGCTAACAGAGCTCATTAACAATGGGGGCCGTCATTTGATTAATGACATCTTTAAAACTAAGTGATACACAAACTCAAGTAATGTCTTTTTACATAAAATTTCTATTGTAATGATATATTTTCTAGTTCTTTTCTTATTGAGCTTTTAAATCAGGAAGATTCTGTTAGTCACCCTGTATTGCTTAGCCTTTAATTCGTCTGTCAAATCGATACTTGTTCATTATAAATAATTATTGATCTAGAGTAATAATAAATTATTTGGGGTCAGATAGATGACGCCCTTCTAAAAATTGACTTCAACGGCATGGTGCCCTAGCATATGACCGAATAACGGTCGTATATAGAGGAGGATTTTGAGGTCACCTTTGGCGAGATTCGCGCCATGTAGCGTTGAGAAAGTGAGACAAGGTCAAAACACAGTCACTCTTAGCGTGATGACTTGCAACCGCAGTGATCATGTGTGAGTGTTGCAGCTCGGTAGTGAGTGTAAAGCTCGGGAGCGTGAGAAAGAGGTCGGGAGTGAGTTAAGAGCTCAGTGGTGTGAGGAAGAGGTCGGTTGTGAGTTGAGAGCTCAGTGGTGTGAGGAAGAGGTCGGTTGTGAGTTGAGAGCTCAGGAGTGTGAGGAAGGGGTCGGTAGTGAGTGAGAGGAAGAGGTCGGTTGTGAGTTGAGAGCTCAGGAGTATGAGGAAGTGGTCGGGAGTGAGTTAAGAGCTCAGGAGTGTGAGGAAGAGGTCGGTAGTGAGTTGAGAGCTCAGGAGTATGAGGAAGTGGTCGGGAGTGAGTTAAGAGCTCAGGAGAGTGAGGAAGAGGTCGGTAGTGAATTATGAGCTCAAGAGTATGAGGAAGGGGTCGGTAGTGAGTGAGAGGAAGAGGTCGGTAGTGGGTTAAGAGCTCAAGAGTGTGAGGAAGAGGTCGGTTATGAGTTGAGAGCTCAGGATTGTGAGGAAGAGGTCGGTGGTGAACGAGAAGAAGAGGTCGGTAGTGAGTGAGAGGAAGAGGTCCGGTAGTGAGTGAGCACTGTGTATGGAGTGGTAGAGGTCAGTGGTGATCATTTGGAGGTGATTAGTGGTGAGTGAATGAGTGGGGTGAGGGTGAGAGGAAGATATCGGCGTTGAGTGGGAGAGGTCGGTGGTGAGTGAACGCTGACAAGTGAAGGGACAAAATCAGTGATGAGTGAGCGCTGCAGTGTGATGAGAGGGAGGTGAAATATAACTGACTACACGTGGCCGGTAGTGAGTGTTGCAGCTCATTTTTATCGTTTAATATATAAATTATTAATGAAGTTGAGGAATATACACCCAAACAATATCGTGTTTGTTCCCTAGTTAATTTAGAAGCGGGAATAAGATATTCTACTGCGCAACTAATGCGTAGACGGAATATTCTGATCAAATTTTCTTGCTGAAAGATTAATTAATTTATATATTTTATTGTGTAAAGTATCAAATAAATATCACTGCTACGTGACAGTGCCTTAATTTTTTTTTTTAATTGCATTGGCTATTAGGAGTCCAGTTCCCAGATGACAGTAACGGCCACGACGACCTCAATTGCTAGCACCTTTCCTTAGCGATGTGAGTGCAGCGGCGCTCAAGACAACTGCTTCAAGGACAATTGAATTACCACACATGCTATTCTTACGTCACATTCTTATTCATTGAAGAACCACGTTGGTCACTCGCAATGTCCAGCAATGTAAAGAATATCTTACCAGCAAATAATTAATATTGATGATCTTCCAACAAGTTAGGTTGTTTAGTCAACGAGCAAGGGTTGATTTTAATCTCGTGTTTAAGGTTATGTTATGTTACTTTAAGTTAGGATAGGGTTTAGTAAGGTTTGATTAGATTCTGCTTTTTTATTGTCTTCGTGCTAGAACACAAGCTAACTTTACTGTTATTATAATTCAACAAATGATTGAAGCTTCATGCAAATTTGTTTCCAGAGATGAACCTGAGGAATTCTTTGTGCACTGAAACCTTGCGATACGATTTCTGTGCTGTGTGCAAATCAAGGGATTTTTTTATTCAAAGTTTTTAATCACAATCACATGAATCATGGCTTCTAATTATATTTGTAATTTGTGTATGTTTTCTTTAGTCATCATTAAGTTTTGCCAAAGTCAAAACAATGCACATAGTGACGAGTTGCATTCATTATCTTCGTCTAATTACGAATCTCTTAACGCACGTGATTTTGTGACGTCTAAGTACAATTCAACTGTACGAAATAACAGTACAAATTTTGGGGTTTACCTCAAATTTTCGCAAGATTTTTCAACGAACAAAAATTCGAGAAGAGCCGATACAAGCTCGGCATGGAAAAGAAAGAGACAGACAACAGATGAAGAAAAGAGCGTGGAATATTTAAACAAGAAAAGACGAGACAGTGAAAAATTAAAGTTTTTTAATTCAGCTCATCATCACACCGGCCGACTGAGGAAAAAGCGACCAAAATTTTCTAATCTACCTGGGGAAATGGCTAACTTGTTACGGGATGCTGTTAACCATCAAAACTTTTCCCAATCTGGTATTTTTTTCGAAGTTCGTGCCATCGATATGAAAAATCTAACGAAAAATCCACAACATTTTTCCAGCAATGTTACCAGAAACGAGGATAAATTATGGGAGTCAGAAAATATGGATCTAGAAAACGTTCTTTATGGCTTACACAAATCATCCGAAAATTTGTGGAGCCAAGAAAGTAAGACGCGAAGAAGGAAAAGAAGAACGCTCATCCTGCCTTCGAACAGTCATGACGAACTAATCTTGCCAACGGTGAGAACATTTTGATAACATTACGGAATGACATCCAAATTCCGCGCTTGTTGAATACTCTGATAAGTATTTAAGCCTACGACACGAATCTTGTGAACCCAATCATATTATTAAAATTCAATGAATAACTCGACGACTTCACATATTCATATGTTCTTGAAATCGCAAAACAATCTTTTCCCGCAGTGGGAAATAATTCAACGTAATGGGTACCCACTGGAGCGTCACTCGGTGACGACGAGCGATGGTTACATCCTCGCCCTTCAACGCATCCCGGGCCCACGACACTCTGCTGTGGGGACCCCGCTTAACAAGGCCCCTTATGGGAGGGCTTCGACACGGCAGGTCCGGTCAGGGGTCCACCTACCGAGGGAGGAACTGCTGGGTGGTAACGGGCTATGGGGACCCCCACATCCAGAGGACATCTTAGAGAAGCTGCCGCGTGGGCACAACCCTCATGTGGTGTTGCTGGCGCACTGCGCTGCCTGCTCTTCAGCTGACTACGTCTTGGCGGGTCCCAAACACTCCTTAGGTTATTATCTCTCATATTTTTTCAGGCAATGTTATGGTGTGCATAAACTAAAAATCATCCTACAAATTGAACTATTCGCGACTGTTATAATTTTATTTTTGTCTTCAACAAAGATTGAACTGTCATTTTATGAATAGTATTATAATTACCATTCATATCTCAACTAAAAATAAACATTCTTTATGAAACGGCGCTTGCAATGTTCGCTTTTCACTATGATTAAGATTCGTAACCAATTTCAAAATTTTCTAAATTAATGAACATGTGGAGCTGCCGACAGGCAATATTTCTTTGTTCCTGATTTCGTGAAAGTTAAAGTGCTGACAGCCTTCCAGTTGGCGGACGCAGGCTATGACGTTTGGCTGGGAGACTTCAGAGGCAACACATACAGCAGGAACCATACAACACTCAACCCTGACACCGACCCCCAGTTCTGGTACTTCAGGTAAACTCGGTTCAAACATGGTGACACCGACCCCCAGTTCTGGTACTTCAGGTAAATTTGGTTCAGACATGGTGACACCGACTCTCAGTTCTGGTACTTCAGGTAAATTTGGTTCAGATATGGTGATACCGGCCAACAATTCTGGTACTTCAGGTAAACTTGGTTCAGATATGGTGATACCGGCCATCAATTTTACATGAAGTCCATTTAAACCAAGTCTGTACCACTGTGGCTGGGAGCCAAGACCATGAAGTCCATTTAAACCAAGTCTTTACCACCGTGTCTGGGAGGGTTCTGGTACTTCAGGTAAATTTGGTTCAGACATGGTGGCACAGACCCTCGGTTCTGATACTTCAGGTAAATTTGGTTCAGACATGGTGACACCGACCCTCGGTTCTGGTACTTCAGGTAAACTTGGTTCAGACATGGTGACACCGACCCTCGGTTCTGGTACTTCTAGTAAACTCGGTTCAGACATGGTGACACCGACCCTCGGTTCTGGTACTTCACAAGTAAACTCGGTTCAAACATGGTGACACCGACCCTCGGTTCTGGTACTTCTGGTAAACTCGGTTCAGACATGGTGACACCGACCCTCGATTCTGGTACTTCACAAGTAAACTCGGTTCAGACATGGTGACACCGACCCTCGGTTCTGGTACTTCAGGTAAACTCGGTTCAGACATGGTGACAACGACCCTCGGTTCTGGTACTTCAGGTAAACTCGGTTCAGACATGGTGACACCGACCCTCAGTTATGGTACTTCTAGTAAAACCGGTTCAGACTTGAGGAATCTTAACTTGTATGTGTGACGAAAATCATAGTAGACTCAATCAACCTGCATACAAAATTTACCGCTACCAGCTTGCTGCTAGAGTTTTTTTGCTAAAGTTCTATTACTATTACCTCCAACCTGTTTTGTGCTGTTATAGAAAAAATCTTTGTCATATTCCAATCTGCATACAAAATTTACAGCGACCTGCTCAAACCTGTTTTTTGTGCTATATAGTTACGTCATTACCGTATTCTATTCAGAAGACCTCTACCCTGATTAACATGCTGATATATTCTCCAGCCTATTTATTGTGGCACAGTAACGTTATTACCATATTCTAGCCAGCATACCTATACCCCTAATTAACACGTTGATTTATTCTTCAGCCTGGACGAGATCGCCGGAATCGACGTACCGGCGATGGTCAATTACGTGCGGCTCAAAACTCAAGTGGATAAAATATTTTTCATTGGCCATTCCCTCGGCACCTTGTCGTTCTACATGTCGGCCTCTACTCCGAAAAGCGTGGTCGATAAGGTTATCTTTAATGCACCTGTGTGAAATTAAATTCAGTGCATATCATTCGCATTGCAACAAATCCGAATTAAACATTTACTTCGATGTTAACTCGGACGATTTTGCAACATATCAAACATAATACATTTAATGCGTACGGTATTTCATTCAAAGGGAGTTGAAGTTATAGTCATAGTTGAAAATAATTCATAATGATTGTTTTCCACGAAATCTATACCTGCCTATGTTAGCATATTCTCTTGTTCTAATTACATTCATTTCGAGAAATTCTGAAAGCTTTGTTACCCCCTAGATCCGCCTGATGGTCGGCATGGGCCCTGTCGGCTTCAGAGACAACGTGCGTGGGCCTATGGCGCTCGCCATGCAAATAACAGCCATTTTCAGGGTAATGTTCTGATTGCTTAAATTGCTACTGCTTCTGAATATTCAGGTCTCAGGGGTAATTCCACGTAGCCCTTTGATGCTATGTCAGAAATTGATCTATGTAAGCCAGAGATCTTCATTAATTTGCCATAATTATTGTCACATGTCGATATAAGATGGTCTTCGTAAGATCCCCTCGTGAATGTATGTATTCGGTCAAGTGAATGATAATTGGGTTGTTGGGCCATCTTAAATTATTTATTTTGGCACTTTCTATGCCTGATTAAATCATAAAATATTCCCAACCCAGGCCCAGCTGGAAAAGCTCGGCATCAGGGAACTGATGTCGAGAAGTGCAACTTTCATCAGCGCCGTGCAGAAGTTCTGCTGCTTAGACTGCCTCTTCCACCAGCCATGCGCCGCCATATTCACCGCCCTTGGGGGAGGAGTCAATCAGGGATATTACGACCCAGTGAGATTTTTTAACTTATTTTATCCTGGTGATAAACTATTAATTTCCATTGCATAGGAATGTTGACCCAAATATTTTTTGCGTCTGTGACACAGATTTCGGTCGATCATTTCGTGAACAGATTCTTTATCGATTACATGTACAGAGGTTAGACAAAATAAGGGAAACACCTGAGAAATCCACAATAAATATTTTAGTATGGTGTAGATCAACCTTCTGCGGCAGCCAATTACAGCCATCATTCTCTAAGGTATTGATTCATAAAAATTGCGAATTTTTCCTAAGTAATTTTAACCGTTTCTTCAGTTGAAACTATCTAGCTAGGGCTCTTTTGAAGACGATGGCGGCGACGAGTTGACTTCTGACTTGCATCTCTAAAATCGACCATAAATGCTCAATAATATTCAGGTTTGGCGATTGTGGCGGCCAAATGAGATGCTCAACTTCATTAGGATGATTCTCGTGCCTTTTTTCAACCATTCCAGCTGTATTGATTGGGGTATACTGTAATGGCATTCCCCATTGGGCATTGAAAGATAGCATTCCTCTCCGGAAATACTGTTTGAACAATTGGATGAACTCGGTCCTCCAAATTTTCTAAATAGTTACGACTGTTGATTCTTCCCATGAAGAGAAATCGTTAACACGCCGGATTTCCAAGAAATGGCAAAGATCCCCCGCCGTGTTTTACGGTTGGAAAAAGGCAGTCGGGATTAAATGACTCTTTTGGCTGTCTCCAAAAGAAAACTCGGCCGGAGGTTGGAAATAAGGTATACATGATGATTCTTCAGAGAAAATCGCATTTTTTCACTGCTCGAGGGACCAATTATGGAGTTTTTACACCACTCTAAACGCTCTGAAGCAATTGTACTTGAAATCAGAGGTTTTCTAATTGCAGATAAAATTCATAGAATCATATGCAGGAGCATATGTTCAGTCTTAAAATGCCTAGCAAATTACGGACCAGGCAATAAGTCCAGACGAAGCTATGCAGGAGCATATGTTCAGTCTTAAAATGCCTAGCAAATTACGGACCAGGCAATAAGTCCAGCAGCTATCTCAATCAATCGTCAGTTATGGAGAGATCGGGTTCCAAAGGCCCTTGCGAATCAAGTCACGAAAAATTCAAGAATCGGCAACAGGCCATGGGCCTATTTCTTCAGTGCCGACACTTCTATTCCATAGCTCTTCCATAGAATCCGGATCTATGCAGCTTTCGGCCGTCAGTCTTTATATGGAAACTGGGTTGTTTATGAGTCCATTGAGGTCTGCAGTAATTTTAACAGCCATGGTCTTTCGATTGTTCCTCACTATTCGATTTAGGTACCGACGGTCTTTCTTAATTAGACATCTTCGACTTTCGATCAGACGTGTGCTTAATTTGCTGAGGACGTTTTTACTATTATATCAAAAGCTGGCATTAATTGTGCGACTTCTAGAAATGTCAAGCACTCTAGTAGTTTCTGTCACACTAGCACCTGCCATACGGGCACCAACAATTTGTCCTCTTTGAAAGTCAGAGAGGTATGTCATTTATAGGTTATATAGGTAAGGTTATAGAAACAAAAAATTACTAAATATATATGTGCAAGTATACAATAACAACTAACAGCAACAATAAACAATGAAACTTAAAAATATATATGTCACGATTTCATCGCTTATGATATGTTTAAAAATTACGATATCAAAATGTTAGGTGTTTCCCTTACTTTGTCAACCCCTGCATGTATATGTAGAAATTTGTACGTTTGAAGCCGTATGCCGCAAATGTACATGACGGGATTGCCTCCGGAGCCCACCCGGGATACTTTTTTTGTGGAGCTTTTATGTATACATATATAATCTTGTTCCGAAACCTATTTCTTGAATAACGTTCATTAATTTACAAATTATTAACTGAGTACAGAATTTGAATGATAGTAAAGGATGGAAAAATCTGAGTTCAGATGAATCACATTCATCTAAACAAAGAGTAAATGAATTGGTTGGGACAAAGTTTGGAAGATCCGAACAGATCAGTTCTAACAGTTCTACCAAAATTGAGACAGATCTCACACAAGTTCCTGTCAACGCTGGATTTTATATCTCGGATTTGGAGATAAATTTCTCAGTCAATAATCTTACGACCCATTGAGATAAATCATTCCAAAACTGTGCCATAATAACTGACGAAGCTTAGATGACATGCTTGTCCCGGCCCAAAAGCGATGTACAGTACATTTACGTATGATTGGCTCCGCCAAGACACATATGTCATCCCTGAAATCATTCGAGTGTGATTAACATAATCGGCCGTTAAACGATTGTGTGTTAGGAAGACCCATTTTATTATCATTAATTTGAGACAAGCACTGGCAAGTCCTCTTGTCTCATACGTACATTTCTTTCTTGTTTTAAAACTTCTTTATTTTTTTTCGTTTGGAAGTGTATATCGAGAATATTTTTGTAAATCGAGAATACTATTTCAGGCAAGGATTTTTGTTTTTAAGAATGAGGATGTGGTCAAGGAAAGCGCGGTACATTAATATGAAATGCCACATAATATTTGCGAATAATTATTTGTAATGATGTGGTTAAGTATCGATCAGCGAGACCATGTGCTGGAGTTCGATGAAGTGCAGGGTTTATTATTCTCACAGCGTTTTTCATGTGAATAAGAATTTTCATTGCCTGAGATTTATTTGGAAATTTTATCACCAAAACACGATATTGTACTTTGATTGTATGATTCTATTATATCATTCTGTATGCATTGAAATGCAATTTGTTCCTATTTATTTTTTATATACTTATTTGCTCGTAATTAATTTTTATCTTGCTTAACTAACGACTGCACTCCATCAATTGGCGTTATGAACAGTTATGTACCTATTCCTGTTAAAATATAACACCTTTCTCTATTAAAAGTTGTTTCGTAAAAAACAGATAATTTAATATTAGATAAATTTCTCAGCCAATATTCTTCCGATCCATTGAGATAAATCATTCCAAATCTGTGCCATAATAACTAACGAAGTTTGGATGACATGCTTGCCCCTACCCAAAAGCGATGTACAGAACATTTATGATTGACACATGTGTCATACCTAAGATTATTCGAGTGTGATTTTTGAGCTCCATCAATTGGCGTTATGAACAGTTATATACACTATGACAAGATATCAACTTGCGTAATTCCAGACCTGTATTATAAACAATTTCTTATTTCCCAATCCATTTTTTTCTCCGTAGTACCATTTTGGAGTCAAAAACCTTAAAAAAACAGAGCTTTGGCAACTTGGTAGTAGATAGCAAAATTCCTTCTCGTATTCCTGTCAAAATATAACACCTTTCTCTATTACAAGTTGTTTAGTGAAAAACAAATAATTTAATATTTTAAACAAGCATTAAATAATTTCAAAAAGATTATTTAAATAAATTTTCATACCACAGAATCGGCTGCATTTGTACATGGGACACTTGCCATTCGGCGGCATCTCCACCCGCGTCCTCGCCCACATCGGCCAGCTCATCACTTCTGGTGAGTGGAGTGGTGGTGAGTGAGAGTGTGTGGTAGTGAGTGGTGGTGTGTGAAAATGAGTAGATACAAACAGTGAGCAATATGATTTTTATATCGCGTTCTATATAGCGTTGAAAGTTCAATTATTTCCCTATTCAGTTTTTCATCAATACAAAACTTACGGTCGCATGCGTTAACTTTTTACAGTCGATTATTATTTAACAATCATATTTCAGTATTCAAATCAATTTTCACGTCACGTGGACATATGTTTATCGGACAAGGTGCATTTTGATTGCGACGCCTGCCTTGTCTCCCAATTTCGTTTGGAACCTTTTATCATAAAACTGGATTGTGATTTTGTGGTTTGTTTTATTGATGTTTGTACAATTGTACAGGACGTTGCGAGGTTGGCTGCCGGACTCCCAAATCTGGTGCTGAGTGAGTCTGTCAACGTGACAGACTTTAACCACTTCGATTTCTTGCTGGCGCGAACTGCCAGACCTCTCGTCTATGACAGCATACTGAACCTAATGAGTCGTTATTAACGAGATTTTGGTTTATTATTAATTTATTTTCCCCGTATTTTGCCTTCGTTCGCACTTTTTTTTATTTCACCTTAATTCGTGATTTAAACAGTGATACGTGCCCAAATTCGCAGTGATTAAGAAATCTCTTCTAAACTACTGAGCTGATTTGAACGAAGCTCCGTATATAAATGTACCTAAACTCCCAACGGTGATGTTTACGCTCGTGACAATTTCTTCGTGACAATTAACTATTTATTGGAAAATCTGCGTCTCAATCATCACATGTTAGACAACTTTAACTCTATTAAAAACTACCTTAGTACGCAGCCCACTGGGAATGAGTGTATGCAAATGTAAGTGAATGAATAAGAAAGGCATTCAGTGAAGTCCTAACGAAGGATTTAATATAGTAAAAAATAAATCCATAATGACACAAAGTGAATCAATTTGAAGACACGTAACTTCAAAATGTCTTCATCCACCAATATTATCCGTTAAGTCTTTTTTGTACATTTTGTTGGTCACTATTTGATAAGGATTAGAGAATGTTACAGGATTTTCAAGATCAATATAAAATTCTTTAGGATTCGATGTGAAAAATGTTGTAATAATTATAGATTCAATCACGGTTGACCTCCACCTGTGGAGATAAAGCTATTGTGCACGGGTTCCGTTGAACGAATGAGTTGGAGTTACCTGAATTATTTTGAATGCATCACTGAAGAAAGGTCATGCGTGATTGAATCTATAATTATATCAACATATTCCCGTCGAATCCTAAAAATTTTACACTTCGTGTGATTAGATTAATTTAATATTGATCTTGAAAACTCTTCTGCATTCTGTTCTAATTTTAAATATTTGAGCGAAAATATGTCGTTTTGCCCACACTTGTCTTGCGTTTTCTTGGCATTGGAAAGGATACAAAAAACAAATAATAAAATTAATACGTATGAATATATTTACAAGGATACATTACGCAGATGCCAACTCATTAAAATACAATAATATTGTTATAGGTTCATTTGAACTTATCACTTAGACCATAGCTAGTTTCGAAACACATCATGAAGACTTAATGACATATTCTTAAACTGTAAATGTTGTAGGCTTATGTACGTTGGAGCCGTCATCCTAGCTACTTTGTACTACTGATGAGCTCCGTTATAAAGATAATGCATTGTGATGTATAAAATTAGATGTAATATGTGATGTATAAGTAGAAACATGAAAGACATATACGTTTAATCTAACATTTTCATCGCATTACATCCTTTGCTTCGAATCAACAAAAGCAGTTTCAAGATTTGAGCTTCTTTGGGCAAAAATTTCCTCTGCGAGTTTACCAGTAATACCTTATAGTGCCTGTTTATTTACTTGTTAGGATTTTTCATCTTTTTTATTTCGTCTTTAGCATTTCATCGCTTTGACGGGTATATTTTTCATCATTAATGTATACCATAATCTTGCTTAGGTAAGAAAATTACCGGAAAGTAAATTTCAGCGACATGTATACGTCATCTTGTAGTTGGCCCTGGCGCACCGCGTAGTTTAGTCTTCATCTGCCTCACATTCGCAATCACTCAACTTGATTCTTGGCCAATTTGGGACTCACTTGACAGCAACATTAGTTAGTCAAAAGAAATGCACATTTCGTTTGGTGTTATTCGCGTGTAAGTAGTTTTTGCTAAAAAGAAATCGTCGACTGTGAGGCTTTTGTGAAATACCTGGTATCTCTATCTCTTCAGTAAATTTTTTTCATGTGTTGATTGCGAGAAATTAACCAAAAAACGGCCAAGTCCACCGACAGAACAGGCCAAAAAAGGCCCACAATACAATATTCAGTGGTAAATTTGTAGGCTGCAGTGCAGAAACTTAATTTTACATCTTTTTGTTCTTGTAAAATACAATAAGTAAATACCGCTGTCATCAATTTTTGGGGCCCCACTCAATTGTAAAAACTAAATCGCGGAATTTGTCTGTAAAAACACGATCTGGCAACCCTATAGTATATGCACGAGAATCATGCACTGCACCCAAAGTTAAGTGACAAATTTACTGACACGATAAAGAATATTTAGCTTACATTAAATATTTTGTATTAAAATAGAGTGAATTACGCTGAATAGGTTGTTTATCTTGAAATAATTTCGACAGATGTTTCACTACGAGCACAACTTCACGTGGAAATCTCATAAGAAGCAACCCTGCCGATCTGAAGGCTTACAGGTTTCAGAAAGAATTCTGATGGCCAAAAAATCTAAATAATCAAATCAAAATAATAAAGAAAACCCACGATAAAGTCTTCATGAATATAAACATCACAATGCGTTGACTTCATCCACATGTACATCGCTATGCAGATCTTTGGATAACATCTTTCACGAAACAATACATAAATAATTTTCGGCAGTTAAAATTCTGCCAATTATATTGCCGCTTTGCCCTGTTCCTCATAGAAGTCTTAAAAACATTAATGGAAAATGGTCAGTGCTCCATAAATTGAAAGAGAAAGAAAGGAAATTGAGATGATATACTGATTAACAGAGTCGAAAAATTTCGCGAACCTTTATGAAATTACTCAAATATTTATTTGCTTGAAAAATTCACTTATGAAATGAATTTACTTCCTTATATTATGCGAATTGAAAGAAAATAAAAATCATGGTTTCCAATAAAAATGATGTATACCTACAGTGCACGGATAAAAAGAGACACTATCCTGACCTATGTCATGTTCTATGTGATACTTATTACATGAATAGTATTTTACAAGGATGAATTACAAACAGCGTTTCAGAATATACCACCCACACCCCTCCCTGCCAAGACGCGCACTGTGAGCCAGTTGCTGATCTCCCGCCAGAGCTTGAGGGAGGCCGAGTCGATGACGTCATCAGCGGAAGTGCGACAACGGACAGCGTACGACTCACAGCCACGGGACGACCTGCCAGACATACAAATTTGGTAGCTTCCTTTAATATAATAGAGTATAACGCTGTCAGCTTCAATTACGCCGCTAGACCTTTTGCCAATTTTGAACATCGCAGAACATTCACAGCTTGTGGCTGTCTCGAATACGCAACTCACTGCTCCAATTTTGCTTTGCGTGAATGCCCGGCCTCCTCGTCGATTTGAAAAAACTAGATGCTTCATTGTTGGTACGCTATTTTACATATATAAAGCCAACCTGCCACTCTTCAGCTGGAAATGTGCATAATTCTTTAGTCAGATGGAATGTAACCGTTCAGCTTTTTCAAGGCCAGTTATTGTCGTAATTCTTCACTGCATAACGAACGAGTTATTTAGTTATCTAGTACCGACCCCTGAACCAAATCAACCCTTCAATATAATGTACTCAATTGAATTAAGTGACTTCCGGTCTTGACTGACCAGCCATAACCGTGATCACGAGACAATGTACAATGGCCATCTGACCTGGTATTACCGTGATTACGTGACCAGTTATTAACATCATCATCTGACCAGGAATTGCCGTGATTACGTCCTGCGGGTACCGGGTCCAACTGACCTGCATGCGTGCGCCTGGTCCAACTGACCTGCGTGCGCCGGGACCAACTGACCTGCGGATGCAGGGACCAACTGACCTGCGGGCGCCTGGATCAACTGACCTGCGGATGCCGGGACCAACTGACCTGCGGGCGCCTGGACCAACTGACCTGCGTGCGCCGGGACCAACTGACCTGCGAGCGCCGGGACCAACTGACCTGCGAGCGCCGGGACCAACTAACCTGCGGGTGCCTGGACCAACTGACCTGCGTACGCCGGGACCAACTGACCTGCGGGCGCCGGGACCAACTGACCCGCGTGCGCCGGGACCAACTGACCTGCGGGCGCCGGGACCAACTGACCTGCGTGCGCCGGGACCAACTGACCTGCGGGCGCCGGGACCAACTGACCTGCGGGCGCCGGGACCAACTGACCTGCGTGCGCCGGGACCAACTGACCTGCGGG